ATATATTATTCGGACAAGCAAAATCCAGTCCTGACCGATTACGGTGTTTTCCTCTTGTTTGATTGTATATCTTACACGGTCGTATAATTTTATACTTATTATTTAGGGATATAGTTCGAAAAAGTTCAGAGTTGTACCAAGGATAAAATTAATTTTTTCAATATTGCCAAAATATCTCATTAATGAATGACTAACATGATCCGTTAGGAAATTGCGCTGGATGTAGACAGGCAGACAAGTATACTTAAACTCCTGCAAATAAAATTAAAAACCATCCCAAGAAAGCAAATATTATATTTGCCAACATTTTTTTTTTTGATAAAGTAGAAAATATAAATACATTCTCTCTTGAGACGTTTCTAAATTATTTGTCATGTTTCGACAAAAAGTTATAAAATCGACCAAAAAAGCGGTTTTTGAGTGTTCCAATCTCCTATATCATAAAAACTAGAGCTAATTAAAATGTTTTACTAACATATTCAAATTTAGCAACCCCAAATTAATAAAGATTAGCTGATTTCGTTTTTGAAGCAAAAAATGAGTTTAATTTTGTAGAATAGTGTTATTTGCGCAACGGATATAGGTTAGACATGGAAATGAGCAAGCAATAAGATTGCGAGGTCGTTGTATAATTAAAAAGTGAGACCGAATATGTAAATTCCTCTGGACTAAAGCTTATAAAATATCGGTCACGACTGCGAGCGAGTTAGAGACGCATTTACCGTTGACAAGTGATTAATAACGTGGCTTCTTTAGTCGTCAATAACAAATAAAATATTTCTATTAAAGTACTGTTATAGTACTTTGATTGCTATCACGAGACAGTACTTTTTCTTAAATCACAATGGACACGGATCCAATTACGACATCTTATACGTCAACCGTAACTTTTTCTCTGCTGATGCTCGTTGCAGTGTTAATTGCAGCGTACTATTACATCGAAACCTCTCGAGCAGTTCGTCTAATAAAAAAACTACCAACAGGTATATATTATATATACATTATATATATATATATATAAAATAAAAAACAAGTTTAATTTCTTACTCGACGAGAAATAATTTTGGCGAGTGGTCTTCGTCAATATTGATTATTATTTACTCATTATATTATCCTATAACAAATTTTTTCTTTTTTTAGGCCCACCATCCGTACCTATACTAGGTCATTCATTAATACCTCTTACATGGCCTCCCGAATTAATGGTAGAGAAAGTTATTGAATTTTATGAAAAGTATGGAGGTACAGGAGGCGCGTATTTCGGTACAAAAACAGTAGCCTTTATAACAGATCCACAAGATATTGAAATAATCTTGAGTAGTTCTGTGCATATCGACAAAGCCAAGGAATATGAGTAAGATGTCAAATTTATAATTAATTAGATTATTAAAATGTATATTGTGCTTTGTTACAGTAATATGTAAAACTAGAGGTGCAAATTTTATTCTGGATGTTTTGTCATTTATTATATAAGCCATTGCTTACTAATATTGGCTAAAATAATCTTCTTCATCTCCATTGCAGATACTTCAAACCGTGGCTTGGAGACGGTTTGCTGATCACAAAAGGCGACAAATGGCGCAGACATAGAAAGGTGATTGCGTCCACGTTTCATATGAACATCTTGAAGACGTTTGTACCTTTATTTTATGAAAACAGCATAGATCTCGTGAACCGGCTTCGGGATAAAGTTGGGAAGAAATTCGATTGCCACGATTATCTGTCAGCCGTAACGGTTGATATTTTGACAGAAACAGCGATGGGAGTTAAAAAAGAAAAAAGACAGAAAACCGGATATGAATATGCCATGGCTGTGATGAAGTACACATTGTTTCTTTCTTATAATTACACGTAACGGTTTTTTTTTTTATTATTTGCTCATCATATAGAAAACGCACTCACTATAATTTGAATATTGTAGACTGAGCGATATCATACATCGAAGACAGTATAATGTATTGTTACGATATGACATGCTTTACAAATACTCGAAGTTTGCAAAACTCCAGGAGAAACTGCTTAATATTGTTCATACATTGACAGAACATGTGATCAAAGAGAAAGCAAAGGACTTCGAAGAAAAACTTGTAAAAGATCAACAAGTAAAGGAAGTGCAGAACGTTAAACCAATGGAAAAATCAAATCCGACCAAAAATATGGAACATGCTAAAAACAAAGCCGCTAATTATATGCATTACGTAAGAGATGACCTCGATGATATCGATGAGAATGACATAGGTGAGAAAAAGCGACTCGCTTTCCTAGAAATGATGTTCGAATTGAAAAAAAATGGGCAAATGACTGACGAGGAGATCTGGGAGGAAGTAAACACCATTATGTTTGAGGTATAACAATTCTTTTTTGAAATCAAATAAATTCTTATCATGAATCTTTAAACGTGCACATGAATTTTTATAATTTAAACTTTTCTTAAATTTTTTTTCTACATTAAAATTCCACGTTTATTGCAAGTTATTATTTTATGCTTTTAAAAAAAAATTAATTATTGACTTATTACAGGGTCATGATACCACGGCGGCTGGCTCGAGTTTTGCACTTTGTATCTTAGGAAACCATCCAGATATTCAGGTACACTTTATTTTCAATAATTAATAACATTAATTAATTAATAACACGATCAATAACATACCCCCAATGGTTATTTTGTATGTTGCATTTGAGTTACAAAACTGTTACATATTGTTTTATTAAAACGCAGTTACTTCAAAAGAACAGCTAAGAAGGATCAAATCTCTTCGATCTTCAGCCTTCTTGACGCCGTAGAATACCATTTTTGCTTCCGGAATAAATTTTTTGGGAAATTTGAAGTAGTCGTTTAAGGTCTTCTCTTCGTATACAAAATAACACTTTCCTTCACATAATTTTTAAGAAATCCCGGAATAGTTAGAAAAAATTAATTAGTTACATATAAATTACACTATTATTCAATAGCTTTATAGGTATGTTTATTTAGGCATAAATATTATTATTATTAAACGATTGTTAAAGCAATCTTATTTTAGCTGAATTTATTTATTTTTATTAAATTTTCTCTTATTTTTATTAAATTTTTTATTAAATTTTTTTATTAAATAATTTTTCTGATTAAGATATTGTTTAGATAGGGCATTTAATACACCTACTTTCACAAGTTTTGCCCATAATGCCGTGCAGATTAAAATCTATCTTATATTTTCCACCTTTTTCCGTGATATGACATGAAGCGCACAACTTCATAAATAATTTTTTACCATTATTGCTGATCGCGTCATCCATCCTAACAGGTTATTTATTGGTTTCTTGCTACGTTTATATTTAAATTAAATTAAAACTAAAATAGTAATTCAATAATATTGCATCTTACGATCTTCAGTCTCTATCGTTTCTGAGGAAAGTCAATACATTGCTTAATTTCGATATAACAATCATAATAATTTAATTCTTTTCTTTCCTTTTTAATTTTATGATTCTTATCGTACAGGCTCGCGTGCACGAAGAATTGGACACGATTTTTGGTGATAGCGACAGACAATGTACTTTCCAAGATACTTTAAAGATGAAATATCTCGAGAGAGTTATTATGGAAACTTTGAGACTTTTCCCACCGGTACCTTTAATTGCCAGGCATCTAAACGAGGATGTAAAAATAGGTAAGTTATCTAATTAAATGCATTACTATAACAGTAATGTTAATCGGGTTATAGTAAGTATTTACTTAAAAAATTTGTGTTTATAAATTAAATAAAATACATTTAATATGTTATATATTAAAGTTACAGGTGATTATATTCTTCCAAAGTCTACCACAGTACTGATCGTACAGTTCATAACGCATCGGTTGGAGAAATATTATCCAAATCCAACAGTTTTCAATCCAGATAACTTTTTACCGGAAATAATGCAGCAAAGACATTATTATGCTTACATTCCTTTCAGTGCTGGGCCAAGGTATTTAATAATTAATAATATTTTTTAGTAGTAATTATTTTTTATTATCTCTAAGAATTTTTCTAAACTATAAGAGTTATATTTTAAAAATTACGTTTAAGTTTAATAAAATAAATATTTGTTCTTAAAACATCGATATCTACAAAATTTCTCGCGAATATTGTTACAATATATTTGTTGACAATAACACATTTTTCAAAGGTCCTGCGTGGGGCGGAAATATGCTGTGTTGAAACTGAAAGTTTTGTTATCGACGATACTGAGGAATTACCGTATTATTTCTGATACGCCCGACAAAGATTTCCACCTACGAGGTGATATTATTCTGAAAAGACATGATGGATTCAATATCAAAATCGAGCCGCGCAAACCAGCATCTCGTAAAGAAGAATAACCGGAGCAATGAACAATCCCATATTAACAATCCCATATCCGCGCAAAGCATAATTTAATCAAATATAAATATATCGATGGATGTACTTTAGTAAAAATTTTATTTTTTTATTTATTAAACTTGCTTGAGTAAATACATTTTTCTAATAATTTGCTATTTGTTTGTCTAGAATAATGAAATATTTTAGACAAAAAAGAAAATCAATAGATATATTATATTTAAAATACCAAAAATATCTTCAAGACTATATTTTGCAAATTATTTACATATAAGATATAAGTTTATATTACTAATATTAAAGTTTGAATTATTTTATTAATTATTAAAAGTTAATAATTGATAAGAAAGTTACTACTTAAGATTAATCTACTTTATATAATTTTGAACAAATAAAACACTTAACAAAAATTACATCGTTGTTCTAGTTTATATAACCTTATATAATCTAAGTATTTTCTCGCAAATATTTTGTTATGTGCCTTTATGCCCTATTAGTATTGTGTTGTAATTTCAATTCTTTACTGTTAATATTAACGAAACCATCGTTAGTTGAATCGATTTTTCACCGTAGTAAGTAGCGCGATCATATATTACCTACGTAAAATGATTACTGTAAAGAGTGTTAGAGGTTTAATGGTTATTTCATGATACATAAGTGTAAAGGGATAGTAAATGATGGAATACAACAAAATACAAATGCATAGCTCTTGTATTCTTTGTTTAGCTTGATATCTTGTATATCCCACCTATTTAGGATATAGATGGCATTTTTAGCATGCGGGATTTATGCCATAGTACAAACACTATAAAAATCAAAATCTTTTATGTGTTCTTTTTCCTTCTTTTTTTTTTATCATATAACAATAACCTTTAATGCATCTATCGTTCGTTTATTTTCTTTTTAAATTTTTTCAGTTTTATAATTTGTTTATCATTTTTACACATAGGATGATATATGGCAAAAATGCAAGGGTCTCTGAAAGTTTTTTTTTGTTAAGTACAAAGAATAAAAATTTCATAAAGTTTTTATTGGTATAATTTATTTGCCTTTAACATTTTAAATAGTACTTAATGAATTAAGTTTTCCTTAGGTGCGGCGTATATACCGGAGAGAGGGAGAGAAAGAGAGAGAGAGGGGGGGGGGGGGGGGAGAGAGAGACGGAGAGAGAGAGAGAGAAAGAGAGAGAAAGAGAGAGTTATCCTAATAATTACTTATAAAGTTAATAAAGAGTATTGAAATATTTATAAAGATTTTTAATATTACAAGAAAAATTAAAAATGCATTGCAAATTAAATACAATTTTTAATATCTCGTTCATTGAATACAATTAATAATATCACTATCTCTCTTGTTCTTAACGCGGATATGATTGTCCCCACCATCTTTTTTCGAATAATTTGATGTTTGCACGAGGAAAATGTTTTATATTTAAGTATAGGTTGCAATTCAAATAGCCTTAATTTACTTTACGTTTTATTTATTGTTTTTAATTATAATGCCCCCCCTCTCCTAATAAATATTTTGCTTCATTATATAAGAGAGGGATTTATATTAATTCGAAATTAAAAGTGAAATCAACAATGACACACCATAATTACGATATACCAATAATTTCGTTACTTGCTGTATGCAACAAAAATCTTTTTTATATTTTTCGCGTTTTCAATGCTTCTTTTATAATGTCGACAGGTCGATTTCCGGTTGTTTATTAAAAAGGTTGCGCTTACGGCTGTGTCACGTCTGGGGCAATATTGCCACATTGATGAATTAACTTACATTTGAAATCAAATGCGTGACGCAATTTTCTCATCCGGTCTGCGATTATTTGCGTAGTGGAAATGAACAAGCAATGCGATATTGACGAGGTCATTGTATAATTAAAAAGTGAGACCGAATACGTAAATTCCTCTGGACTAAAGCTTATAAAATATCGGTCACTACTGCGAGCTAGTTAAAGACGTATTTACCGTTGACAAGTGATTTCAGTCGCCAACGACAAGTAAAGTATTTCTATTACTGTTACAGTACTTTAATATCTTGAATCTTGTGTCTTTTAATGTCGACACTATAATTAGTAAGTTGCAAGAAAAAAGTGAGAAATAAGTGATTATTACGAGACAGTACTTTTTTTTAAATCATGATGGATGCGGATCCAGTAACAACATCTTATATGTCAACTTTAACTTTTTCTCTGCTGACTACGCTTCTTGCAGTGTTAGCTGCAGCGTACTATTACATCGAAACCTCTCGAGCAGTTCGTCTTGTGAAGAAACTACCAGGTATATTTACATATTAAAATAATAAGAAATAAGTTTAACTTTTTACTCGACGAATATGTTTTTGGCGAGTAGTCTTCTTATCAATATTGATTATTATTTACTCATATTATCCTACAACAAATTTTTTTTTCTTTTAGGCCCACCATCCGTACCTATACTAGGTCATTCATTAATAACTCTTAAAGCGCCTCCCGAAGCATTAATAGAGATAGGTCTTGAATTTTTTGAAAAGTATGGAAGTGTAGTAGGCGCGTATTTAGGTTCAAAAGTAGTAGTCTTCTTGGCAGATCCACAAGATGTTGAAATAATCTTGAGTAGTTCTGTGCATATCGACAAAGCCGAAGAATATGCGTAAGAAAGTTAAATTAACAATTAATAAATTTATTAAAATATATATGTGCCTCGTTCCTATATATTATATGTAAAACTAGAGGTGCAAACTTTGTTCTGGATGTTTTGTCACTTATTATATGTAAGATGTTGCTTAAAATAATCCTCTTTATCTCCATCGTAGATTGTTCAAACCGTGGCTTGGAGACGGTTTGCTGATCACAAAAGGCGATAAATGGCGCAGACACAGAAAAGTGATTGCGCCTACGTTTCACATGAATATCTTGAAGACGTTTGTACCTTTATTTTATGAAAACAGCATAGATCTCGTGAACCGGCTTCGCGATAAAGTTGGAAAGGAATTCGATTGCCACGATTATCTGTCAGCCGTAACGGTTGATATTTTAACGGAAACAGCGATGGGAGTTAAAAAAGAAAAAAGGCAGAAAACCGGATATGAATATGCTATGGCCGTGATGAAGTACACATTGTTTTTTTCTTGAAATTACACGTAGCGTAATTTTTTTATTATTTGCTTATCACATAGAAAACGCACTCACCATAATTTGAATATTGTAGACTGAGCGATATCATACACCGAAGACATTATAATATATTGTTACGATACGACATGCTTTTCAAATATTCGAAGCTTGCCAAGGTCCAGGAAAAACTGCTCCGTATTGTTCATACTTTGACAGAACATGTGATCAAAGAGAAAGCAAAGGACTTCGAAGAAAAACTTGTAAAAGATCAACAAAGAAAGGAAGTGCAGAACGTTAAACCAATGGAAAAATCAAATCCGACCGAAAATACGGAACATGCTAAAAACAAAGCCGCTAATTATATGCATTACGTAAGAGATAACCTTGATGATATCGATGAGAACGACGTAGGTGAGAAAAAGCGACATGCTTTTTTAGAAATGATGTTCGAATTGAAGAAGAATGGGCAAATGACTGACGAGGAGATCTGGGAGGAAGTAAACACCATCATGTTTGAAGTATGACAATTTATTTTTGAGAATAAATGTAATTTTATCATGAATCTTTGGAACATCTACATTAACTTTATAATTTAAACTTTTTTTAACTTTTTTTTCTACAAAATATCTTATGCATCGCAAACTGCATTGCTATAATTAATCACGTTATTATTTTATACATCAAAAAGAAATTCATTGATTTATTACAGGGTCATGATACCACGGCGGCTGGCTCGAGTTTTGCACTTTGTGTCTTAGGAAATCATCCAGATGTTCAGGTATATTCATTATTACTATTTTCGATGATTGATTACAATAATTACATAATTAATAACATAGCCCCATGGTTATTTTGCATGTTGCATTTGTGCAGCAAAATTGCTACATACTGTTTTATTAAAAAACGCGGTTATTTTAAAGTAGCTAAAAAAGTGATCAAATCTCTTCGATGATCTTCGGCCTTCTTAACGCCATACTATTTTTGTTCCCAAGATGAATTTTTTGGGAAATTCGAAGTAGTCGTTTAAGGTCTTTTCATCCCATACAATAACTCTTTCCTTCATATAGCTTCCATGAAATTAAATTCCGGAATAGCTAGAAAAACTTAATTAGTTAAAGCAATATAAAGGATTATACATACATATTTACGCATAAATATTATTATTATTATTAAACGATTGTTAAAACAATTTTTTTTAAATTTATTTTTATTAAATTTTTTTCCCGATTAAGATTAGAAATTAAATCTAAAGTAGTAATTTAACATTATATTGCATCTTTACGATCTTCAATCTCTATATCGTTCCTGAGGAAAGTCGATTTATTGCTTGATTTCGATATGACAATTGTAATAATTTAATCTTTTTTTTTTCTTTTCTTTTTAATTCAATTATTCTCATCGTGCAGGCTCGCGTACATGAAGAATTGGACACGATTTTTGGTGATAGCGACAGACAATGCACTTTCCAAGATACTTTAAAGATGAAATATCTCGAGAGAGTTATTATGGAAACTTTGAGACTATTCCCACCGGTACCTTTAATTGCCAGGCATCTAAACGAGGATGTAAAAATAAGTAAGTTATCTAATTAAATGCATTACTATAACAGTAATATTAATCGCGTTAATACTTAAAAAAGTTGTTTATAAATTAAATAAAATACATTTAATATGTTATATATTAAAGTTACAGGTGATTATATTCTTCCAAAGTCTACCACAGTACTGATCGTACAGTTCATAACGCATCGGTTGGAGAAATATTATCCAAATCCAACAGTTTTCAATCCAGATAACTTTTTACCGGAAAGAACGCAGCAAAGACATTCTTATGCTTACATTCCTTTCAGCGTTGGGCCAAGGTATTTAATAATTAGTAAAACTTTTCAGTAACAACTGTTTTCTGCTATCTCTAAAAATTTTGCTAAATTATAAGATATCTATATATTTAAAAAATTACATTTAAGTTTAATAAAATGTTTGTTCTTGAAACGTCGATATCT